TGTTTCTTTTTATTGCCAGACTATTTTGGTTTGGGCCTATGTTTCAAAGTTTAATGGACAGATGAAGAGTATGCATATCTGCCCTTATGTATGCATCTTAGGGAGAAAGCATTGTATCTTTTCCAGTCATATAAGGCATTTTTGCTGAAGGACGGAGTATGTGTCTTATCCATTGAGAAGGTTCTGTTCTACTTCTAGTCCCCTGATAGCTTTTACCATGAACAGCTGTAGAATTTAGTCCAATACTTTTTCTGCAACTACCAACAAGATCATATGGCCTTTTCCTTTCCTCTGTTAAAACAATGACTTTTGGGGGTGGGATCTTCCAATGCTGAACCAACACTGCCATCCCTATAATAAAACCACTTTCTACATACTGCCAGATCTGACTTTGTTTTCTTAAACAAATTTCTATCTACGTTCATACTTTTTCCTACTATTATCTTTATCCAGTTTTAGTAGTAGCACAATGTTGATTCCTAAAACGAGGGAGAAGTGTTCCTTCTTTTTTCTGCTTTAAATGTTTGATATAATTTATCAGTTAAAATGTATATGAGCCTGTTGTTGTCATATAGGTAGGTTTTCAAGCTAGGAATAGACTTTCTTTAATAGATGCTATTCAAATTTTATATTTCCTCCAGAGTCAGTTTCATTAATTTGTCTTCCAAGGTACTTCTTAGTTGTCAAATTTATTTCAAAACAGATTTTTGTAATATGCTTTCTATACCCTTTTAAATTCTGTAAAATCTGTGGTAATATCTCCTATATCTTGATATTGTAATTTTAAAAATGTATAATTGATATTGTGTAACAGGAAGAAAAGGTCTAAAGGAGTAGGAGAAGCGGGAGGGGTAGGGGAAAGGAAAGAAGGGAAAAGAAAAAATATGAGAAAAGGAAAAAATGGGAACAAAGTCTTTGCAAGTAGGGAAGGGTGGAGGGGGTGAAGGGAGGGCAGGGGAAGGGGAAAAAAATAAGAACCAAGATACATCATGTAAAGGTCCAAGATCCCAATGATGAATGTAACTGTATTTTATATCTAAAATGTACCAATAAACTTAATGGGGAAAAAAAAGGCATGAAAACTGTTTCCCTGCTTGATCGGTACCAAGGAAGATGGGAGCATGAGCTCATCCTTGGTCACTGGCCATTAAAGGAGTCTTTTTATTTGGATATTTTTGTAGCATGGTCTTGTTCGCTGGGACAGCTATAACATTAAACAAGTTTAAAACATAAGGATGGGGCCGGGGATTTAGCTCAGTGTTTTCGCCACCTGCTGCACAAGCGCAAGGACCAGACTTTGATCCTGGGTACCAAAAATAAACAAACAACCAAGAATAGGTAAATAAATTCTGGTAATAATCACACAGTGGAACAAAATGTGGCTATAAAAGTGAGTAAACTACAGCTACATGCATCAATGTGGATGAATTTTAGGAACACTGTTTAAGTGAAAAAAGCAGGAAAATAAATACATATGGTACCATTTTTACCAATTCAGTTGAACCATAAGCTGAATTACTTGGGTGATGAAATGATACAGACAAGACAATAACTTTAAAAAATTCATTGGAAAAATCCAAATTGAAGAACATGCTACAAATAATTATAATTTATAATCTTTAAAAATGTCAAGGTTGGGCCAGGGATTTAGCTCAGTGGTTCTGGTGCCTGCCTCACAAGTGCAAGGTCCCAAGTTTGATCCCTGGTACCAAAAAAAAAAAAGTCAAGATCAAAGGCTTTGAAACTGTTCCAGATTGAAGTAGACTAGAGAGATGTGTCAGCTAACTACAGTTTCAGACTCTACAGATTCTAGCTAGATCTTTTACCTATAAAGAACTTACATAGGACAATTCACAAAACTTAAATGTGGCCTCTGGGTTTATATGGGATTTCTTTGCACTATTTTTGCAACTTTTCTGTGCATGTAGGATTGTTCCAAAATAAAACTTAGTTTTTTTCTTTATAGCAGTTTTATTCACAATTGCCAAAATACAGAAGTAACCAAGGTGTCACTCAGTAGGTAAGTTAATAAACAAACTGGAACATTTTGACAATGGAATATTATTCAGCACTAAGAATAATTGATCTATGGAAAGCCAAAGCAATCTTGCCAAGCACGGGGGTGGATGCCTGTAATCCCAGCACTCAGGAGGCAGAGGCAGGAGGATTCAAGTTCAAAGCTAATCTGGACTGTGCAAGACCCTGTCTTAAAACAAATGAACAAACCAAAGAACAAAACCAAAACGAAATCTTAAATGCATATTTCTGGGTAAAAGCTGTTGAAAACCTACATGTAGGATTCCAAATATATGACATTCTAGAAAAAAGCAAAGCCAGCCGGGGATTTAGCTCAGTGGTTCTGGCGCCTGCCCCACAAGCGCAACATCCCAAGTTCAATCCCCAGTACCTAAAAAAAAAAAAAAGAAAAAAGCAAAGCCATGGAGATGGCAAGATCTATGGTTTCCAAGGCATGAGGGGAGGGAGGGACAGATGGAGCACCAGGGATTTTCAGGGCAGTGAAACTATCCTGAATGATTCAGCGTTGGACACATGTCATCAAACATCTGTGAAAACCCATAGAATGGCTAGGCATAGGGGTCCATGCCTGTAATCCCAGCTACTTGGGAGGCTGGAGCAGGAGGATTACAAGTTCAAAGACAGTCTGGGCAACTTAATGAGACAGTGTCTCCAAACAATAATAATTTTTAAATGGGCCTATATAGTGCTAGGGTGTCCATGAGCTCAAGCCCTAGTACTGTAAACAACACTCAAAGAATGAAACCCAACATGAACTACAGGCTTTAGTTAATAATACATCAATATGGATTTATCAATTATAATGGCTGTGCAACTCTAATGCAAGATGTTAATAACAGAAGAAACTAGGAGAGGAGTTTATGGGATTACCCTGTACTTTCTACTCAACTTTTCTGTAAACCTGAAACTGGTTTTTAAAATCTAT